AAGGTGAGAGACTTCAGCTGCTGGTAAAACCCAATTTTAGCAGGGTTCACATGGTGCCTGGGAGCCCCATAGTTGCTAGCACATGATTAATGCTAAAGCTGTTTTCAACAAAGCAGCATAACCTCTCCCGATATCCAAGCCAGCAGGAAGCAAGAACCAGAGCTCAGGATGTGCCACGTTCTTATCCTAAAGAGTTCTGAGCCCACTGGCCTGTTCTAGCCCTGCATTCCTAAAACAGAGCCTGAAGGTGAAGCTTTTGGAGTCTGGGTGTGAGGCCAGCGAGTTCCTGCAGAACAGAAGCACTTGACATGTAACCCAGCCCAGGCTGCAGCACATCAGAACACGCAGGCTGCCAGTTCTCACTACGCGTTTCTTTTTCGCAGGAGTTTGTGATCACTACTTTGAAGAGCCTGGGCTACGTCACGCTGATGTGTGGGGATGGGACCAACGATGTTGGAGCTCTGAAACATGCGGATGTGGGTGAGTCTGTGTGCAGGACTCTCACGTGTGCCCCCATCTGAGTTTGGCTAGCGTTCCTAAACACAAAACCAGTGTTTGTTTCTCTGGTGTTTTGAGGGCTGGGATCAATCTGACCAACATCGTTTGGTGGCATAAACCAACATAAAGAAGAAGGATCTCTGTGCTGGTGGAATACCCGCTCTGTGCGCACCAGCAGGCAGTGGGAATTAGCTGCAAACACATTTTCCTGGAAGAAAGATTTTTCCTAATTTTTTTTTTTTTTTTTTTCCCTAAGCTTTGCCTCAGCAAGCGTAACATGTCTGAAGTCTCTGCGTAACTAGCCTGCGCACCTGACTCCAGGTGTAAATAGCAGTCGGGATTCCTACTTGGTGAAAATGCTCTGCCGGCAAAGGGATTACAGCCCTTTTCCCCTGCAGCTAGTGTTTGTACACTCTTACAGGAGTGGCACTGCTGGCAAATGCTCCTGAGAGACTGCCCGAGCGGAAGAAGAGAACTCGAGATGGACCCAGTGATGGGAGGCCTGCTTTGCCGTCGATGGGGAGTGGAACTGTGAAGCCCACCTCCCGTGGTGCCAAGCACAGGGTCATGTCCCAAAGAGAGGAACAGCTGGCCATCCAGAGGGTTGGTAACTAGATGTTTAAAAGCCCGTTAACTTATCCTTGCTCTTTGTTCCTCCTCTGGTTTACTGCTAATTTGTGAGAACTGGAAATGGTAGGATGTACTGGGAAAAGACCAGCTTTTCTGCTCCTTATCCTGAAGTAGCAGAAGGGATTTGGGCAGAGGGGGTGTGGCTCTTCCAGCCAGCCATCAAGCTAATGCTGCAAGCATGCAGGCTTCTCGGCCTCACCTTGGAGCAGGGGTGTGGGAGAGGATAGCGCAAGATCATCTTTGATCCTGGTTGTGATAATGCGACGTACATTTGTATCTCTCCCTTGTTCGCCTGCAGGAGCGGATCAGTCAAGTCCTGAAGGACTTGGAAGAGGAGCGTGTACCAGTCGTGAAGTTGGGTGATGCCAGCATTGCAGCCCCCTTTACCTCCAAGCTCTCTTCCATTCAGTGCAGTAAGTGCATGGTGGGAGCTGAACAGTTGGTGTGCATCTCCATGTGTCTGGCTTCCCCGAGGGGAATAAGGCTAGATTTGAAAGAAGCCAAGACAGAGGGCGTGGGGTGGTGAGAAATGCCCCCAAACCCATGGCTTTGCCAGCTTTTTTGTGTGGAACAACCCTGTGGGGGTTTCTTGGATGGGGAGGCAGGCAGTGAGGGGTTAGCTTCCCTCTGTGCTGCTCCAGAAAAGGAGTGAGGGACAAAGCCTCAGAACCTGTTTTGTTTCCAAACGCTGCTTCCTCTTGCTCCTTAGTCTGCCACGTGATCAAGCAAGGTCGTTGCACGCTAGTGACAACACTCCAAATGTTCAAGATCCTTGCCCTGAACGCCCTGATCCTTGCTTACAGCCAGAGTGTCCTCTACTTGGAAGGGGTGAAGTTCAGTGATTTTCAGGCAACTCTGCAGGGTCTGCTCTTGGCCGGCTGCTTCCTTTTCATCTCCAGGTCGAAGGTAAGGGGAGGGAAGTGTGTTGGGACAGTGGCTGGTCGATGTCAGTCGTATCAGGATTACTGAAAGGACCGCCTGTCTCCAAAAAAAGCCGTTTATTTTGATAAGTTAAGAGTCCACAATGCTGGAGGGGGCGGTGGTGGTTTGTTCCCCTGGATTTGGGAGGCTCCCAAGGCCGGCGCTTGCTTAAGGGAGCATCTTGTGATTGCAGGCAGGCAGCTTTGTTCAGGTTACAGGAAGAGCAGGTGGAAGCAGTGGGAAGGGTAACGCAGATAAAGGGTTCAGTTGAGGCTGTTACTTGCACCCACTTAAGCTGTGGGTCTCGTGTATGTGTGAAGCGGAGTTTTTGCCGGCATTTCCCAAGAAACACAAGCGTTAGTTGGATTCTGCTGGAACACTGCCTAGAGATGGTCAAAACCATTCAAGTCAACCCTGCTTGCTTTTCTCTCCCAGCCTTTGAAGACACTTTCCAAGGAGCGCCCGCTGCCAAATATCTTTAACCTCTACACGGTCCTGACAGTGCTGCTGCAGTTCCTCGTGCATTTCCTCAGCCTCGTTTACCTGTACCGCAGCGCCCAGGCGCGCAGCGATTCCAAGTAAGTGTCTCTTCCTCCAACGCTGGAATGTTTTCTCCAATTGCTGCAAAGCAGGAGGGTGAAGAGAGGCCTCCCTTGCCACAGTGCTCTTTCTGTGAATGCTTTATTGAGCACACCAAGCATTAGGAGTTTAACGGGTTAGACACGTCCAGAAAAAGCATTTCTGAGTTTGTGTGTTGAGTGCATCAGCAGGGAGCCCGGCATGGCAAGGATGCAATGGAACTGGTGCGAATATGGTCTGTGATATGTTGCAGTTCCAAAAGTCTGCTGTCCCCACGCTGGGAAGGGAAAGGGAAATAGAAATAACACCAATGAGGTGAATTACTGGAAAGTTGTCAAGAAAAACACACAAAAAACTAGGGTTTTTTTCCTTTTGATTTTGTGAAAAAGAACCCAACAATTCCCTGTGCTTGCAGCATCTGCACCTCTGCTCTCACCCGTGCAAGCACGCTTGTGTCAGGCAGGGCTGCTGCTAACGGGAGCCACCAAAGTTTGGGAACAAACAGTTGTTGCCCAACAAAACTTGCACATAGTTTAAATAAACTGGTGCTTCTGAGTCTGGGCTGCTGATCTCCAGCTTTGTTCCCTTTTAGACAGGAGGAGTTTGTGGATCTGTACAAGGAGTTTGAGCCCAGCCTTGTGAACAGCACTGTCTACATCATGTCGATGGCGATGCAGATGGCCACGTTTGCGATCAACTACAAGGCAAGCCATGTTTAACTCGCATCTCCAGCAGCGCCAGAGAAGCAACTTTGTAATTAAGGTGCAATAGTACAAACCAATGTTCTTTAATCATAAACTACAGTTTGTCAGTGCTCTGTAGGGATTACTTATGTCTTTTTGCACCGAGTTGGAATGAGCAAAGTGTCCCAAAGCCGTGTCACGAATTGCTCCGCATCCCCTAGTCTGAAGGAGTACAGCCTCACCTCTGCTCACAGTTTCTCCCCACTGTGTTTCAGGGCCACCCTTTTATGGAGAGTCTACGGGAGAACAAGCCTTTACTGTGGAGCATCGTCCTTTCCGGGCTTGCCATCGTGGGCCTTCTCACGGGCTCTTCGCCAGAATTCAATGAACAGTTTGGCTTGGTAGAAATCCCTGCTGAGGTGAGCAGGCAGCGTTTCTCGGCGCCTACTGAATTTTACACACGGTTTCCAGTGGGAGAACAGGTCTGAGCCTGTCTTCAGGAACTCTGGAGGAATCTTAAGGTTTTTAGCAGAACGTCAGGCAGATGCTAGCTTGCGGGAGCGCTACCTACCTAAGTAGTTCTAAGGGAGAGGATGCGGTAGCGATCCTGCTGCA